TCTCTCTCTCTCTCTCTCTCTCTCTCTCTCTCTCTCTCTCTCTCTCTCTCTTGCCCTCTCCCTCTCTCTCTATCGATCTCCCCCTCTCTCTAACTCCTTTTGATGTAAGTTGGATGTCAGGGATTCTAAACGACAATCATGAGGAAACTAATGGGCTACTGAATGAACATAAATAATAGACAAAAATTATGTGGGTACAAATAGTTTAATGATGATGTCATATACACGAATGAAGTGAAAAGGAGAAAAAGTGCTTTTAAATTGCATAGACTTTGAAGTCAGGTACAGAAGTCAGAGAGAGATCAGTGCTTGAGGCGCAAATGTTCGTAAAACGTAGAGAATACGAAAGAAACAGCCAGGATAAACATCGTAATAAACTGAGATTATGTGAAAACACTCTTTTAAAGCCCCCCCCCCCACAACAGCGGTTTTTTTCCCATTTGACAGCCCACAGGCCTAAGTTCCATCCCAGCAATAGAAACTAACAGAGACTACAAAATCTTTTAGTTTTAATAAGAGTAATTGACGGCAAATACAACACAATAATGAGATAATTTAAGTGCCGAAGATGAGAGGTGATACTAGAGAGTAACGTGTACTAAAGGAGAGATCAGGGTGACAGATGTTTGATAGGGAAGAGTGTGCATACTACACCAAAGTCATTCACCCACAACCGGCAACTACAATACCATCTCAACTTTAATGATCAATACACTCACTAAAAATACCCAGAGCATCACAACTGCATTAACATAAAGAGGTAGCTACACAACGATGACAGCTGCAACAACCAACAAAAGACCATTGAAGTTGCAGCAAACGTGAAAAAGGCGATAAAAAATAAAACACTTGGCTAATCAACCAATGAACAAAACAAACTCGCAGCTTGCGACAGTCACTGTAATGGTAGCTACTACTACTACTACTACTACTACTACTACTACTACTACTACTACTACTACTAGATCTAGATCTAGATCTCTACCAACACTAGATCTACTAGCACTACGGCTGCTGCTGTTGTTGCTACTGTTGCTGCTACCATTGCTGCTACTTTTTCTACCTTATTGCTACAATTGTGACGGCAACTAATGATAACGACGATTACAACTTATTAATAACAACAATAACGACACTACAAGCATTCAGACTTCAACACAAATTCAAACTCACCTTTGCCATTGTTCTCACTTTGGTCAACGCCTCCTTTCAGAACAAAACACCCCAAAACAACACACAGGTATGGTCTCGAATCACTTGTTCTGCACAGTGCGTATGTCTCTAGATCTATATTAAAAACAAACACCACAATTCCAGTCTTTTTTTAAGCCTCGGATACGTTTCCAGTCTCAAGGACAACAATATCAAAGCGGTAACATCGCCAGCACAGCTGACGCTAAAACCTCTAGATTTCTAATTCTCCTTCGTCCGGCAGAATGGTTCTGCTTCCCCTCTGTCCACCCCGTTCTTCTGATTCCGCCTGGTTTGATTACTCACTCCTCCTCTCCAATCGTGAGTCAAAACAAAGCAGCTTCTATCAGCCCTTCAGAACACAACCGGCTCTCTCTCTCTCTCTCTCTCTCTCTCTCTCTCTCTCTCTCTCTCTCTCTCCACAGTAGGCCTTGTAGTAGCAAGCGGAGAGGATCAAATCGCCCCGCTCTTTGTTTCCGGAAAAACTGTCGCCGTGAGTTCAGTGAGCGTCAAGAACCGACAGAGGCGAACGTCCTTCGTCCCTGGCCGCTCACGCCGAAGAGAGAGGAGGCAGGCTAGTCCCAGAGGCTCGCGAGTAAAGCGCGTGCGACGCTTTGCAAAGATATTGCCGACGGGGTTATCCAGCGACCATCGATTTTATCCGCCTTAACCCTTTGTGAGCTGAGTGCTTTGCGGGTAAGAACGGCATTGACACCGGGTTTGGTTAAATAGATCGTGATAGCTCGGGATCTAAAAGAAAGACATAACTCTATGAAGAAAGATGACTAAGGCGTGTTGACAACCCTCCCCCCATTCCCCCTCCCCAAACCATTTTCAGCCCGTGATAGGAGAACTTTAAGTTCTGAAAATATATCTATGCCGTGAATGATTGACTTGTTGTCAGTACTGCGTTTTTTATTTGCATACTTCGAAAAGCGTGATATGGACGAAGCGGTTAAAAGCTATAGTCGATTTTATCAGCAGAGTACTTTTATATAATACATAATAGATAATGCTATAATAGATAGGACCATTCACTTTTTATCAGGTGCAGTACAGGATGAGCCCTTTTTTCAAAGTCACTTCATCGGAGAAAATTACTCGCAGTGCGTTACCATTGTAGCAGCAATAACAACAAGAAAGAAAATCCCAATAAATAACACGGCAATGGTTACAACCGGTGGATAAAAATACCAATCCTTAACGTGACAACAAAGAACACTTGTAAACCTTATCCCGTTCTCCTTGTTTCTCTCGTCGTCGGTTTATCTACTTTGTTTGTCCGTCTATACATCTCTATATTCTTTTTACCCAAACTCTTCTCTCTCTCTCTCTCTCTCTCTCTCTCTCTCTCTCTCTCTCTCTCTCTCTCTCTCCTCTT